TTTTGATTCAGGATGAACAGAGCAGACCCTCTGCTGTTTACGTGCTGCTGACAGGCCTTTGTCATGGAAGCAATCAGGAGCCCTAGGGCTCTTCAGCAAGACTGAGAAAAGACTACTTCTGGATATACTCCTATGCTCCACATAGGATCTTCCAAACTTGCTAGAATATAACATTACAGAAATCCTTTGGTTTGTTCATCTTAACCCTGCCTTTCTTGTAGAGCCTAACTTTACACGAGATTCCAGCTGTATAGAACTAAAAGCTGCTTCACATGCACAATTCTAACGGGAATACGGCTTCCACTGCAACCTCCTCCCAAGCTGCTAATAATTTCAGCTTAATCCGCTCGTGTCGATGCAATCACATTTTCACCCCTCCAGTGAAATAACAGGCATGTTGTGTACAAAAGCATATTAAGACTATGCATCAGATTAGGCTAAAAAAGAACGTTAATTAATGTGACATCTTAAATACTGATGTTCAAGGTTGCATTCTTAAAGACAACGAACAGCACGTATAGTCCTTATAATCACCTGCATTACAGGGAAGAACACAGTGGAAACGAAAGATTATTTCCTGACTAATAGCACTTAGAAAACAGATGCTAAAGGTTTGTTGTTGGGTTTTTTTGGGTTTTTTGTTTGGGTTTTGTTTGGTTGGTTTTTTAACTAAAAAAGGTGTATTTTAACTTTTTCAGGACTACTAAAAGTGATAAAATCCAGCGACTCCACATGCACACCCACCCAGAATCTCTACCACAAATATACATACCTTCCTTTTGCCCACAGACTCCCAAGGAGAGACATCACTCCATGAAGTGTTACAAAAGTGTTTTTCACCTGGGTCAAAACTTTTAAGATTCTAAAAGAAAAAAGAAAACAAGAAGTAATCTGCTTTCTCAGTCTCTTCTGAATGCAAAAACAGTCTCAACACAGAGCAAGGAAAACAAAAAAAACAAACAAAAAAAATCACCTAGAGGATGAAAGGGAAGTCCATGGAGTATTCGGATACAGGTCTCAAAACTCAGTTCAAATAAACTGCTTCTTTGACCTCTCTTTGATTTATTTTACCTCAAATACTTGTTCATATGACTACTTCATAATATAGTAGGAATTCTGAACACTTCATAGTTACTGAAAATAATCTAGGAGTGAACATATTTACACTTTAATTCCATTGCTTCTAGCCAAGTTTACAGAGAACACTGAAAGGAATTTTCTCCCTCTACCTTCCTCCTCCTAAATCTGTAATATTTCACTATTTACTTCCATTTCTTAACTCACCACTATGATTTACTTTGCGACAGGTTTTAGTGTTAAGTCTTCACAGCATTGCTATGCTTGTAACTTTGAAAAATGAAGACGTTCCCAAAGCTTATTTCAAAGAGCAGCGGTATTTGTCCTCAAGCTGCAGAAACAACAGTATTACCACGCCTGGAACAACCATGTCAGGGTAAGCAGCTTTCCTTAGAGCATTCTTCTAATCGATCCCATCACAGCAGTTTTTGTTCCTCAAGCCAAAGACAGCTACTACTCTTCTCAGAGGCCCACACATATCCAAACACAAACTTCATGAAAAAAAAACCCTTAGATTCCTGCTTGCTTGGCACTTCTGAAGACCCTAAGCTAGCTCCAACAGCACACTAGTATGTCTTAGATGAAACACAGGCTACAAATCCAGGCTTAAGCCCCAGAAACCAGCATCACTTCTCCCCTCAAATTCTCCTTCCCTTTCACACACTCCTCTTCATTCAAAATTCTGCAAGATGCTTAGAAAGGGCAAGATGTTTTCACCTCTGCACCAAACCCCACTGGAACAGCAGAAGCAGATAATAAAGATCTTTTAAGATTATATCATCTTCAAGAGAAGTGGAATTCATAAATCTAACAGTTTGTGGTCAAAAAAACAATGCAATATTTACATGACATTTACAAGCAACACAGGATATATTGAGCAACAAAAAGAAACAGAGCCTCCAGCAGTCAAACACACGATCCTACTGAAGGCAGGCTCTGCCTGCACTAGGCTCCTGTCCACACCGTGCAACTGTGAGCATCGCTGTGTGTACAACAGATTATAGTGAGCCAGAGGGTCATGCCAGTCAATCTCATTTAAGTTACTCAAGAATTCAGAAAAATATAGCTTAGTTTGCAATAAGCTTGCTATCTTTTTCAACCATCAGGTTTCCCCAAGGAGAATCCTGAAGAGCTCAGGTCAACAACAAATCCCTTCCATTCTAACCAACACCTCCACACTGAACAAGTCATCTATTTGCCCTCCAGCCACACCTTCTAAAAAAAAAAAAAAACCCCACCACCTTCGAAAGTGTCCCACAGCCCTAGAGAACACCATGCTTTTCTTACATATGTTTGACAGAGAAAACAGAGACTCAGTATTTACTAACAGTTCTTCAGCCAAACGCACTGGAGTGAATTAAACACTGTGAAAAGTTTTCTTGAAGTTGATGGCCTACCCCAAACTCGTTCTGCTTTTGGTTTGAGTACTCTCAGGCTCCTAGACTTGAACACCAGATTCCCACAAGCCAAATGTGTGTGTCAGTCGAGATCATTCTGCTGAAACAGCCCTTTCCTACAGAGCCATATTCACTGACAAAAACAACCGTTCCTACCACTACTGTTAGTGCTGGAAACGGCTGTTCTGACCTCTTGCTCTAAACAGAGATCCACACTGACACCCCAGAAGCAAGCTTTGGTCAGGGAACTTGCTATGCCCTTACCACATTTCTCACTTCAAAGAGGAGAGGAAAACAGGAAAAGGGCAAAGATACTGAGAAGAGAATGAAAACCCTCCGAGAAGCCCTATTAATCCCGATGTATAGTAGGTATTTCTAAGTTTAAGAGAAAAACATTTGAAAACAAAGAACTGCTCTCCCCTCTGTGTTAAAACAATCACTGTTTGCCAGAACAAAAAAGATAAAATGCTCAGTTTAAATGAAAACTAAAGATCACAACGTGTTAAAGAAGCTAAAATACGTTAGTAAAGAAAAGTCTCTGACATTACAGTGCACTTAAAAGTACTACTTTGAAAAATCAAACTAGTAATCTAGCACAAAAGGCTCATGTTTTCTTCCTAGCATAGATCAATTAAGAACTTTTAGCCTAAAAAGTAATCCATTTGGTCTCCAAGCTACAAAGAGATACTAGTAGTGCGTGAAATTCCTTCACCTTCCTCACAAACTGCTTATTAGAACAGTTTAAGACCAATTTTAAGACCAGATGGCAGGTCAAGTTTCTTTCATACCATTTCATACTGTTTCCTAAATTGTTCAGACTCCTCACAAGGACAATGTCCAGAAATCAATCTTAATACTGGGGGGGGACAACACACAAAACAACACACCACCAACTTAAGCTACTTCTCACTATTAAGACATCACAAACCCTATTCTACCAAAAATCATCATATGAGCTAAGTACAAATCAAGTTCTAAAACCCATTCTTCTTGCTGCTAAAGTTATATCAAAACCAGCCCCGGATTGCCTGGAAAAAAAACAAACTGAAGTTACGAACTTGGCTGAGGGAGAATTAATTATTCGCAAAAAATTAAAACTGTAATTTTTTTAGCCGACAGAGCTCTTTCCAGTGTGGAAATGCTCACTGGGTTCCCCACCACCACCATCTATTAAAAATGAAACAAAACCGAAAAACGAAAAAACACACACACCCCCGCTCCCCCCCCCCCCCCCCCCCCCAAAAACCCAACCCAACACACCTTATTCCTCATTCACCGCTAAACCCCATACTGCGATCAAAAACTTCAGACTGCAATCAATTTCAGAGGAAAAAAAAAAAAAAAAAAAATCAGCACCATCAAAACATTTCTACTTCAAAGGGTCAGGACAGAACAGCTTCTGACTTAAGAGGGTTACTTACAAAACAATATACAACACAATAAAAACAGTCTGAAAATGGAAATCACTAGGCAAATACATTTTTCCCTGAGCTCTTATGACATTTATTTAGATATATCAAACACCATTCAAGTGCAATAACCAAGAATGTTCCAGAATTAGTTATGCATGTAGATCTTCAGCATTTTTTCCAACTGTTTACTCACACAGTTTCAGAACAAAACACCACAAGAGGCACAGCAGCACCCCTACAGAGAATTAACTCCGCTCCATGTGAAGAGATGAACATAGTGAACAGCCAGAAGAGCCTCTGCACCAGCTGGCTGGAACACACCCCTGTGTGGTCACCGAGGCGCATCCCTGCATCCGCACTGCTCCTGCCATCAGGCTGGCCAAGCTGACGGTGGGGATCCCTCCTGCTTCTGGCACAACGCCCTCCCTGACAGCGGCAACAACGGTACTTGACAGCCCCAGTACCCTCACATGGGATTTTCAGATGCAGACCGGACCTACAGCTCCGCAAGACAAGTTTGGTATTTTTCCCCGGACACAAAGTTTAAAGGCCTGCAACAAAATTACTGGGCCTAATTGCTTGTCCCTTTTCAGAAAAGCTGACCATTTCTGTATCCTTCAGAAGCTTAGCTTGACGTGATGGGATGCCTTTGAGTCGGCTCGAGTCTTCACCTGCTTGTGACTTTAAAAGAATCACAAAAAAGTTGCCGTGTAGTACATAAATAACACTTCACTAGTCTGCAGTGTTTTTCCTAAAGCCGTACTGTTTCCTTTTTTTCTTGAAATACTACCAGCAGAGAATATGCAGCACCATCTATAACACATCTGGTTGAGAAAGACAGTTTCTTTCAATGTTATGTACCAAAACACTAAACTCCACCCCTGGCATATGAGTAGTCAGTCACAAGTAATCCTTCCAGCAAAGACCCCATCATAAAGACCTATAGCAGAGGAGTAACATACATACACTAAAAAGTGATATATTTTCTAAGGGTTTATGTTTCAGATTGGTTTACATTATTTCAAATGCTTTACCTTCAACAATTCCCTGCAGCTGTCAAGCCCAAGGTCCGCAAGAATGCTCTTCACCTTTTTTCGAGCCTTCCTGATATTATCAAGATTTTGAACAGGAATTTGAAACATTTTGCACTTTGCCTGAAAAAGAAACACAAACAGCGATGGAATACTTGAACACAGGCACTTGCACTCAACAGTATTACAACAAAAACTAAAGTCTGAAAAATGTATTCTTAAACATGAAAACCCAAAAGCCTTAAGCCAAAGAACTGGTCTCATTAATATTTCCTAGTAGGATCACTTGCTTCCTCTTAAAGGAAACAGAATCTGATTGGGGGCGGGGAAACCCTTCACATGTCTTCTATCTAAACAAAGTTCCAAGATTTTCTTTCGGATCTCTTTGTGCCTATATAGCAGCTATACTGGGTTTTGGGGGGGGTTTTAAGAGAATATGAACACCGGAATTTTACTAAGTTCTATTCAGAAAATTACTATAACCTCATTTAAGAAGGAGGAATTCAACATCTTTCACCTTGAATGTTAGCATCAAGATGAGAAGCCTCTTTGATAATTTGGCTTGTTGTCATGTACGTTCATGCTTAAAACACGGTTGCTAGTAAAATCTGGATTTTCTGCCCAAGTTTCTGCTGCTGTAAGCTGATATGACCTTGGCAGAAAACAGGCAACTACAATATTAATGCAGTAGAAATGAAATGTAATTAACGTATGACACTGATAGCCAAACACGCTGAAGTGGGACAAATTTTTTTAATACCCGTATGCTTTTAGCTCTCCTCCTCTGAAGAAGTGTATATAGCTCTATCACCTTCCCCTGCTCCAGAATCTGGATTTATATCCTACCCTGCTCCCTCCAGCAAGCTGCTGAAGTCCAACACAGGGCAGAAAAGACTAAAGCAAGATTACAGGCTGGAAAGACAGATTATCTGCTGCGGGGCACCCACTGGAAGGGCTGCTGTGCTGCGGGGCTGCCCATCTGCCTAGAACCTACCACCAGGAAGGGCCTAGTGCTTCCCCAGCAGCCAGGCTTTTATCGTGGCTTATCTTCAGCTCCCAGGACATCGTAAGGTATCCCCATGGGCTTAGCTTTGAAAGTATGTGCCTTTATCACCTCCTCCCTAGATTACAGCAAAACGCAATTTGAACTGAGATTTAAGAAACTTAAATGGGCACAGAACACAACAAAACTACCCGGCACTGAAAAAGGTCACTGGGAGCTTCACAGGTATTTCTTTGCTCTTAAAGAGCTGCCAGAGGACCCAGTAGAGTTTAAAAGAGCTCAGTCCTTACTGCTAAACAATTCATCCATCCAGGACAAGTTCTAACAAGAAGAAAAAAAAAAAAAACAACCACACAACAGAAAATCCCCAAACAGTACTTCAGTCTTGATGGTCCCAAATGTCTTGAAAAGCTGTACTTCCCCCCCCGCCAAAAAAGAAAAAAAGAAAAAAAAAAGACTGTGAAGGTAAAATCTTTGCCTTGAAAGGCAAGACTTTCCTGTAAACAGTTGCAAAAACCCCTCCCACATAAGAGAGAAGCTACAAGCTAAGCCTCACCAAAAGCAAAGAAATTTTTCTACTCTGTATGTCATCACTCAAGATAAAAAAAAACCCAAACCCTTAATTTACGTACAAAACATACAATTGAGGTTTTTTGAAATTAAAATTCAAACAACTCACATGCTATTCTCCTCTTCTTCTCCCCCCAAAGGAAAGGTGTGTAGAGAGAAATGGAGAGGGAGCCCCATTTGACAGATGCTAGTCTTGTTTTCTAAAATTTTTTATCGGTAAGAAGTCTGGAAGACATTCTGATACCATTGGGATAGGTGTGGAACAGGAACCTATACAGAATGGAATAAATCAGAGTAACTAGTCTGGCATTCTATCAAAATCCAAGGAGCAAAACTAACTAAGACGTCAAACCCTGGTTTTAAACCAAAGTCAACCGGGAATTCGTACAGTCTCTGGTTAAAGCTTTGTGAGCAGTCCCTCTACGACAGCAGGTTATGTGCACCAACCCCATGGTCCACTGCAGGCAAGAACAGAGCTGACAGGGTGTCACCATGCTCAGATCAGCCAGAAGGTGGTTCAACACGTTAGGCTCCACTGGAAACCGTTCCTCCATTTCAGTCCTTTAACTGATACACACTGATGCTACCGAGAAGGTGAAGCAGACATTTCTTGAGGCATGTCTATCTCACAAAAAAGAAACATTAGTCTACAACGGTGGTATAGCATGTAACATCCATATATCTCAAGAGTTTTCTTAACCAGTAACCTTTCTGAAATGGAAGTCATTAATCCAGGAAAAAGCAAGAAACACAACAACAAGAATGAAAAGGAAAAAAAAAAAGGAAAGAAACTTGAATACAAATGATGTAGTTTTCAAGTAGCTAGTCTTTAATCCAAAAAAGATGTGTATTTCTGTATCACGTGCAAGACTATTCAGCTGGTCTCTAAACAAACTGCTTGGGAGCGAGACTGTTACTCAGCTAACATTCTCTGTATCCAGCAATAAAGGTTACAAAATTTCACCCTTCTAGGCATATTCATTCAAGCCCTGAGTTTAATTCCCCAATGACTACACAGCTTATTATTCATCCTCTTTTACTGCTAATTTATTTCTCTGGTATTTTGGACATTCTTCAAGCTTTAGCTTGCACTCCAGTTCCACGCCTAACTACCGACAATCTTTTGTTGGTACGCCTCCCGGTATTAACCAGCAAATTCAACATGAAAGCACTCCAGTAAATTTAAACCCGAGTTACTCCAGCCCAAGCACCTTGATCCTTTTACCACACAGGCTACCTAGAAGACAAAATTTATTTTAAACTACTTTAATTATGTTTTCCAAGAAACTGATAACCCATGGAGCTTTCACTCAGTTCCTTTCATCAACAGAACCAAGGCAAGTTAGTAGCAAAACAAGAGAACCACTGTAGCACCTGATGTCCCAAATTCAACTCTAAAAATGTCATTCAACCCTGCTCAGGCATTTTGTCTGTCAATCTACGCCTGCATTTACTGTCCATTTAGATAACACCTCCATAATGATACAGCAAACGGGAGTTTTATGCACCACTAAAGGTTCCCTTCATTTCTACACCATTTGTAACCACGTATTACAACATCCAACTACATTCAGCTTTCCAACAAAGGTCATAAATCCAATTCTTCCTGTAGTACTGTAGTACTTTAATACTAGCCTAAACAAGTAACAGTCTGGACAGTACCTTACTAGTTAAAGACAAATACTACTAGTTTGCCAAGTAACTCTGCTTGACTAGAATTTCTCTGCGCTGAAAAAGAAAAAATACTAACATTTCACCTCTTCAAAGTGAGAGGTCACCGCAGAATGGAAAGTTCCCATTTGCCTTCCTTTTAGTCTGCTACTTAGGACAATACTCGTTCCCCTCGGAAGGTACCTCCAGAGGACACCCAGTCCAGCCTCCTATTCAAAGCAGGCTCAGCAATGAAATGCAACCAGGGCATGCTGTGTCTTGGACAGTCAGGTCTTGAAAACCTCCACAGAGGCTGGACAGCCTCTCTGGGCAACCTCTTCCAGTGATGGACTGTACTCGCAGGGAAAGGCTTTTTTCCTTACATCAAATGAGCATCGTTTTCGTTTGTGCTCCTAAGGAAACCAGGCATACATACTCAAATTAAATATGAAGCTGGTACGGAGGTGGAGCAAGGAAGATGCACACATGTGCCTTCCACGTGCATGCAAACACATCCAGCAGAATCTGACAGTAAACTAGGTAATCTGGCATTTATAGAGATTTCATGAAAACAGGCAGCCAGAGAGAAGGTCTATTAGAAAATCTACAGAGAAAAACGTCGCAATGTAACCTTAGTTAGAAACCAGGTAACCTACACAGAAGCCAGATCTCCAGGTGAGTCCCTAGGAGTTGGCCTTCACTAGTCTCTTGCTCACAGAGCTGCTTATAGTAGGGAAATTATGAAAGGCTTACGGAATTTTGTCCTTTCACATTATCTGCTTTGGAAATTCAATAATTTTTAGTTTCTATGCCTTTTTTATCTAGTAAACTGACATTAGCAACTCGTGGAGAGATTTTTATAAAGACTTTCAAGTTTTGGGATATTTGGGTTGGAAGTACTTTCAAATGTTTGTTCACCAACTTGTATTTCAGCAGTTATCCGAGCTGACAAGCACCCATAAAGAATTCTTAATTTTCATTTTAGTAAACCCATTAGAAGTTGATAATTCAGTATTATCTGTAATTATAACAGTTTTTATCTGTTTTACCTGTAATTATAAAAAATAACAGTAACAACTGCTTCATTCCTGACAAGGAAATGAGAGCATGCGATCTGCTAATTCTCAGAATCTAAAGACCACCACTGGACAGCAAAGACAGCAGCTATGAAGACAGGCACACTGAGAAACTGCCTAGAAGAATGTGAGTGCAGCTTGGCCATGCCAAATTTTACTCTTATAGATTTTGTTTTGTTTCTGATAAGCTTACAAGCCCTCCACCAAGTCATACCTGGATATCTGCCCAACAGCATACTACACGGATGGTTCCATTCCCTGGACTCTTATCTGTGCCTTCTGAGATAGGCCTAACTGGATTTAACAGTACGTTGGCACCATCAAAGCTTATCCAGCGTTTGGAGGGAGAGAGAAGAAATGCATATAGCTTCCTATCAATATCTCTACGTGTCTGAACAGCTTTGAAAGATTTGATTCCTGGAAAGAAAAAACAGTCAATTGATTAGAATGGATGCTATTCTTGTTTATTATTTCATTTGTTGTAAATTAAAATTAAACTGACTACAAAAAACCTAGATTAATAAAACTTACTAATAGTTCTGGTCAACAAAATAATGCTACTTTATCTTCTTAAATTCCAGTTCCTGTCCAAGCGCAACTTGATAGAAATCTCAGGTTAAAAAAAAAAAAATTTTTTTAGTGCAACTAAATCAGAAACCTTTAGGGGTCTCAAATTCTAGATCCCTCACAGTCACAAAGCTGTTAAAGCAGTCACCTACCCCAACGCAAGGCTGGCCACCATTCAGTCGCAGCTAACAAGCAGACAGCATTACGGCAGCAATCACACAGACGAAGCTACAACATATCAACCTGCACCTTCCCCAAAAAGGCCAAGTCAAACAAAGCTAGATCACTAACTTCAGCTTCTGTGGTTTAAATAACTACTGCGACGCACAATCAAGTCTCCGAGCCTAGTGAGAAGAGAGGAAGGGACTACACCCTTCTAGCTCCTGGAGCCCTCCTAAAGCACCGCGACTCACAGAGCTTGACTCCCTTGGGGACCAGCATTAGCCAGAGACTGAACCCAGCAGGTCCCACACCCATTCTAGACGACTTGAGCATCCATGTGGAGCCTACTCGAATCCCACAGGACTCATCACCCTCTGTGAGTAGGGGTCCCACACAGAGCCCAGCTACTCTAGGAAGAAGTACAACTGCATCCGTACTGCCCTTGTCCGCCTGGTAGGACTCAAAAAGGCGTTTCACAGAGATGCACAGAACAGCCCAGAGCACAGATAACCCACAACCTGAGTAATTCAGCAAGGGG